AACCTTATTTCATATTGCATTTTAAAATATTTTTATCTTTATCTTGCTGAAATGGCTTGGGAAGATTTTTGGACTTTCTTCCCAAAAGTTTTGTCAATTGTCTTAGTAATCACAGATATAAATAACTTATACATTTGGTTACATCCAAAGAAAACCTACACCCTCCCCAAATCGCTACCTACACAGAACTAACTCCACTTTATTTCAACGACCATCGGAGACATTTGAGGGACAATAAACATCTCTATCTTGGCCCATCTGGATCTTCAAAAGCTCCAGGCACAAGACTTGAGCCCAGCGAGCAGATGACGATACACCACCAAGAACACGAAGTGCAAAGACACAAGAGCCCTCTGCCTATGCAAGCACAAGCAAGCACACTGACCGGTGACTCTCTGAGAAAAAGAGATGATAAGGGACAAGAACTGAGGTGGCCTGGAGAATGGAAGGACAGGTAAAAATGGCATACTGTTCTAACCAAAAACACAAAAGCAAAAACGGTTAACAAAACCCAGTCATTTGGATAATCTGCACTAAAAACATACACAGCTCTCTGGCATGTAGACACACACACACACACACACACACACACACACACACGGATCTCAGACTGCTGAGTCAGATGATCCAGTACATAACAACTGTAGTGAATGACAACGCCATTTTCAAGATTCAAGTCGGAGGAAATAATAAACAACAAAGAGCTAGCATCTCAGCCGTCCAGTTCACTAGCAAGGAAAGCATGCACTGAGCTGCCTACAGAAGCACTCAAGTGGGATGAGAAACAGGAACCAAGTGAAGCTGGTCAAAGCCTGAGGAACAACGGCAGCAGCTGGAGTCCATTTTCCCAGGCACAGGCCCCTTCTCCCATTCATATACCACCAAATTGTACACCAAAACCTCAAGCCCCAGACTGCCAGAGCCTTCAATTTTTCTTTTTAAAAAGCCATAAATACACATTGTATATGAATCTCCTGTTTCTTAAAATATTTTAAGTTAATCAAGTTTCTTTAAAAAAAACAAAAAACAGTTCAAATGGATGTACCTATAGGATACCTATAAAAGCAAGGTGAGTACAAACCAAGAGTAGGGTAACTCGGTTTCTAAAGCACCCTCCTCGACTTCTATCGGTTTGCTTATTTACCTTGATCCCATTTGTATTTTCACCTGCATCTGTCCTCAGAATGTAAACAGCCAAATGCTACACAAATCAATGGCTGGTGCGGTGGAATGTGAAGTAAAGCCTACTACTCTGTGTCCTTCAGGACATTAGGGGCAAATACTCATCTTGGAAAATAAAGATCAACTGTGGACAGATGGCTTTGTTAGACTGCTGAACAAAACTGAGCACTTTGTGATGATTGGTAAAGAATAAGAACCACATCTTCCTGATCCCCTTCCCACACCTCTTAAATGTTGCTTGATTCCTGAAAGAGGGGCTTGCTATATGGCCCAGGCCGGCCTCAAATGTGTGCTCCCCCCGCCCCCGTTTCAACTTCTAAGTGCTGGGATTATAGGCATGTGCCACCACACCTGTGTCCTTTCTTTGAAAACTATTAAAATGGACTCAAGATGCCCAATTTCATACAGCTCTGGGCACAAGGTCTACCATGTTCAATCATGCACGAACCTCAAGAGAAAAATATAGGCTAACGTGACAATCACATCCATTGAAAGTGCCATACAATTTTCAGCTTCTACACAAAGTAGACTGATTACTTACTCTAAAAGACAACATCCTGCTTCAATCTAGGCAACATGTGATTCCAATCAAGGCAACATCCTATTTCAATCAAAGTCAAGACATCTAAGAGACAAACCAACCCTACTAAATTCCACCACCATAGCTAGATATCCCGTTATCACAGACTGTATCAGATATGCTTTGCTAGTCATGTAACGAACTGTAATCTTCTAGTCTACGCTTTCTTCTTTCACTACAGGAAGATTTTTTAAAGTGCTTTCCAATGCAGGTGTCTCGTCTATATATTCACTTGGGAAGGACTGATAAGAGAGCTGGTTAATTCATCTTTAGCAGCCACATTCCGTAGTCTATTCTGTTTGATAGCTAAAGCAATACATTTTCCAATGCCCATCCTTCTCTTCCTCAAAGCCCTTATATTTTATGTGGTAACTTATTCTGATATCAACTTAGAATGAAGCCACCTTTAACTCCTAACTTAGCTCAAAAGGAATAATTGTGAAAGGCGGATGATATTTAAAAAGATTCGCTTTAGAATGTTTAAAAAAAAAAAAATGCTCGAAGCCATTCTGTCTCCAAGTCAAATAATTTTCCTACATAATAGTATAAACATTGAAAAAAGAGAAACTGTAAGAACCGGTTTTTCAGTCCAGTCTTTGGAACTGTGGTGTAGCAGTGCTTGCGGTAGTAAGCATGGAAAATGAGAATCTACTTTCTCAGTCCACGGCATCCTCTACGGCACAAGAGTCTGTCATTAGTCATGAGATGCACAAGTGCACAAGCCCCCAATCAGACTCAGCTGGAAACACACTATCAAGAGCACTCAACAGTCTCAAGACTCCAGAGCAGAGCTGGATTGGAGGCACACACCTGTAACTCAGTATTCATAACAGGGAAACGGGGTTAGGAGTTCAAAGCCAGCCACAAATGAACAGTGAGTTCAAGGCCAGCTAGGTCTGCATGAGGCTCTGTCTAAAAATCAGATCAAAACCAAAATATCCGTAATAGATCAACTGAGCTTAAACAAAATACCCCAAAGACCTAATGGTGTTAAAAAACCCATAATAAATTAGGTCCTCCATTTATTCCCAATGGTGAGACGTCTAAAAATAATCACTCCTAAGACAAGATAGCTCAGGAAGTAAAAGTGCTTTCTGTGGAACCCACATAAATTTGGAAAAAGAAAACCAACTGTACATAATTGCCCTTTGATCTCAACATGTGCAGTGTGCCATATACACCCATATATATCATGCACACCACACACACAAAATAATAATAAATAAATATATATATAAATAAACACATTAGAAGTAGTTACTGTTACATATATGATTTTTAGAAACTATTTTTGTTATTGTCAGAGAACCTACAAAAACATGAATCTAAATCTAACCACACTGCTATGAGTTCAGATAACCCATTCACATACGGCTGACATTTCATTAAGATGCTCTGACAGCAGCCACACTTTGCAAAGAGAAAGATAGAATGGAGAAAGTAAAGAGATGTAAAGAAGAATTTAAAAAGCAAGAATGGAAGAGGGAAGATTGCTAATGTCTAGGGTGTCGAGGAACAGGAGAATGCTCATCCCCCCAAGTCTACACAGCTGCGGATATCCACACAGCATGCCTTTTGACAAGAAAAAAATACTTAAAGGCCACAGGGAAATCTGACTTCCAAAAAGAAAGCAACAGTAGCAATAATGGCCTTTCCCCCTTTCTACCATGTTTCCCTCACGGTGTAAACTCTAAGGTATAAATCCATATGAAGGATAAAAACAAGTTTTACGTGAATGATAGCATTACTGTACTTATTTTGCATATTTCAAGTATCAAACAGTCCTATAAAAACTTGTTTCCTCTACTCCAAAGAGAGCACCTTCTAAATGACAGTACACCTCCAGCATTGACTGTCACACACTCATACCTACACAGTAACAGACTTACTCATGAAGCGCAACTCTCATGCTTCTCAACCAACAACGTTACGCACACATAAAAAATGACATACGACATCCTGTATTTCCTTTAGAAATAAAACCTGCTGGTCTTTGCTTTGGGTTTTGCAAGTTAACTATTTTCTTTTACTCCTTTCTGGAACAAGAATTCAGCACTCTGTCAGTTTTTATTTTGAAAATGCCTATGCGGCTAGCTTTTACTGTGCAGAAAGGTACTATACAGGCTGCTAGGAGCAAAGAGTCACCAATGGTTTTACCCACCAGTGGGGGCCTGCTCTTGTGGAACAGTGGCATGACTGCTTTGGCAGTACCCAACCACTTGCCGATTGGATTTGAGGCCCTGCTCCATGGGAAGGAATTAACAACGCCCTGCACTCGTGGAGAAGCAACCACTGTCATCTTGGTAAAAGGATATATCCATGTTTACAGCCACAGGGTAGTGCTGTGATCAGCTCTGGTCAGAGAAGCTTCTCTTTCACTGGATGACAGAGACTTCTGACTGATCAAAGTGCTGAGAATAAGTGAGTACTCAGTGTTCAGCCATAAATGGGACATCCCGCCCCCTACGAGGCTCAAGGAGCACCATGGAAAAGGGGGAAAAAGAATATGAGCCAGAGAAGGGGGTGGGTGGGGTTAAAATTGCTGTCTTCCAGGCGTGACACGGCTGCTGCACACAAGAGCTCAGGGAAGCTGTGGTTATTTGCATAGGACCTGCACAAGACTGGGCACATCAACCCTGCATCATGGATAAAGATTGGTGGGGGAGGTCACGAGGCCCCACTCCACCCTAAGAAACTGCCAGCAGCTAACAGTGGCTGGGGGAGAGAGAAACACTTTCTTCACTGGTATAACCACTAAAAGGTGCAAGGATCCTGTTAACAGCTCCTGCCCAGACTCCCATAAGGAAACCTAGTGAAACTCTTTGGGTCACAAAAATAAAAAAAATTAAAAAAATAAAAAATTAAAAAAAGAAAGAAAAGAGAGACATGAAAATAGAAGGGTTATGTTTCTGAAGAGGAAAGGATTGGAAAGGCATAAGAAAGGATAATGTATTATATATGTGCATAAAAATGTCTTCATGGGACCCCTGTTATTATTTATAACTAATATATGCTAATAAAAATACTCATGGATGAAGTTCTCAAAAAATTACACATAATCTACATAAATATGAAAAAAATAAAGAGAGAATGAGATACTAAATCAAAATTTAAAAAGGATTTTTTTTTGGGGGGGGGAAGAAAAGAAAATGTTCCTAGCTTTCCTATCAAACTCTCAAGACAGTGACGGCAGACGAGATCCAATAATAACGTGTTGATACGGTGGCCACGCGCTCACCTAGTACGCTGACAAAAGCATCGAAAAGATGAAACGTCAGCAGAGGTTCCTTCAGCTGACCATAGTGATCTGCTATAGTTTTGAAGACATCTTTTTCAAACCCCGAGTACATAGGCTGCTTCCAGTCTGTGCAGTTGGGCCCTTTTAAGAGAGAGAGAGAGAGAGAGAGAGAGAGAGAGAGAGAGAATGATTAATGGGACATTAATCATAGCACTTCTAAGCCCCGTGGTCTGACCATACACGGGCTGTGCACAGCTATCCAAGACACACAGACAAGTTTTCATGCGGCAATGACATATACCTTTTACTCCTACAAGGATGGTTTATGTTTAATTGAATATATGATAAAAATGAAGAGCATTTAATGCATCTCCATTTTAACAGTAAAGCATGCTTTTTCTCTTTTTATGTCAAGGCAAACTTCATTCACGTAAACAATTTTCTTTAAAATAGTCAACATATTCCTAGTCTTAATAAAGTTAATAAAAATAGCAGTTTGTTAATATGCAACAGATGAATTATCAAGAACTTTCTACACCTTCCTGAGTTCACAAGTTATATATACAGTCATACAGTTGAGTGGAATAATCACCTTCTCCTAACAAACTGTCTCAGACAAATGAAAATTTAAATGCTTTTTAAAAAGATAATGAGAAAGATTTTTACACTCTATTTTGTCAATTCATCCTGAACTCCAATCGGTCACTGCCCAGCCAGCGAAAGAAAACTGCTCACACTGCAAAGCTGAAGCCACCTTAGAAACCCTGACCCAGGGTGGCCCTGACCATGTCCTATGCCAACAGCAGGACAGAGGGAAGTTCTGCCAGAATCCAGGTCCTCTGAGGAATATAAGATCATCTGTACCATTTGGCAGCAACCCAGAGCACTATACAAGGAGTACGGGTTTATGTAACCATGTTGACGGGCACACAGGAGGTTCTGGAGCCTTGGGGAAAATAGCTCATCCTAAGAGGAGCATGGGAGAAAAGGAGGGCAATCGCGGTGACCAGCTCCAGACCAGCAGAGGACGAGGATGTCAAACCCCAATGAAGTGCTATACCCAGGAGAGTGAACGGAGCAGCTAAGATGAATTCAAGGAAGTTTTTCCCACAGAATTGCGGGAGCTAAGAGATTCTAGGTGTAACACAGAGGAAACCATTCTGGACCACAATATACAATCCCCTAGGACACCATAAAATGGCTCTTTATGGAGACTGGAAGGGTGGATCGGAGGTTAACAGTAAGTACTGCTCCTGCAGAGGACCTGAGATCGGTCCCCAGAACCCACATCAGGCGGCTTACCATCACTTACAGCTGAAGCTCCAGATCTGATTCCCTTTTCTGAGCTCTACCAGTATATCGGCTTACGTGTGCCTACTCACATACAGACACATGTGTATACACATACTTAAAAATAAAATCCTTAGATGAAAACCAAACATCTTTTACCCTTTCCACTCTGTTCTTTACTTTACTGGGTAAAATAATGAGATGTGTTTATGTGCTGTAGCACGTAAACCCAGCAGCAACTGTGTAAAACATTTTGCTTACTTCCTCCTTGCTTATTAAGCTTAATCAAGTGAAAGCTGAAAATGTCTCAGCAAGCAAGACATACTGCAGAATTAGTGATTGCCAGAATATATGAGTGATTCATTCTAAACAATTATATGCCTTGAGAATGTCACATCTTTGATAAAAATATGAATAACAAATCCCTGAAAGAAAACAGAACATGGGTCTTTTCTTTCTTAATCACCTGTAGTTTAAAAAACATTTTTTTCCTTAATCCAGCTTTTTACAAATCTTATTTCTGACAGATTCTGGAATGAAATGCTTTGGCTGCTTTATTTCCATTTGTGATTGGCTCTTCTGACACATACACACAAAGAAACAAAAGGAATCAATTAATCCGGTTTTGCATTACTTAGCATCCATCAGTCTTCATTGTGAGCAGCCATAAAAGGTTTGGCCCACACCTAAACATCCGGACAATATGTGCAGTCTTCAGCGACTTAAGAATTACATGTAAGAGAAGGAAGAGTAGCAGGCTTGTAGGAAAAAGGGCAAGTAGCCCTCAGCACATCAGATAGTTAGCCTGTCCCCTTTTAGAGGACTCAGTGGGAATGTGTACTTATTAAAGGACAAAGAACATGTCATGAACTTTGACAGACTGAAGGTAAGTTTTGATGGACAGGAGAATTGGGAAAGTTTAGAGAGTTCATAGAACTACCCAACAGGCTGACCTGTCCTTTGGCCACCTCTTGTATCTGATATACAAAGGCCTCTGATGTGCTAACCATTTGTAGAGGTTGCTCTCATGTGTAAGGCATGTGCCTCCTCCAACACTCTTTCATACGCATGAGACACATGTAACGTCTTTCCTCTACTCACTGTCCAGTCATGCCACCCTTGCTTCAGGTGTTTGTGGCTTTATGTGTCAAGTGGGGAATTGATTATACAATTCCCTGCATTCCAGTCATCAAGGAAAGTCAGACACAAATATAAGCACACCTTAAAGCATTTTAACACACTTTATAGCTTCAGTCCCAGCTGGTAACCTTCAGATCTGTGGTTCTCCAGGAGCTCAGAATGAGTGCTGGAGCTTTGCAGTTGTACCATTATCTCATCACTGCCAACTCTGGCCAGAGACATAACTTACATTTACTTTACATACTTGAGCAGAAGGAATAAAAATCACTTCAGGGTCAGCAAGATGGCACTGTGGACAAAGGCACTCACAGCCCTGAACCCACAGGGTGGAAGGAGAGACTGACTCCTACAACCATCCTCTGACCTCCATACACTTGCTACACATGCACATGGGAATGCTACACACACACACACACATACACACACACAAACCTGTAATTTTAAAATTTTAAGTATTTCTTCACCCAGTTGAAGCCACATTACTCTAATCTCAGAGTGTCCCAAAATATCAACCAAAAGTCAATGAAAATTTTAGGAGTTAAACCTGGACACTCTGAGTTTTATGCGAACTGCTGCTGCCATACATATTCAGAATGAGAGTGCACAACTATGAGAGTGTGAAACAAACGAGGCCCAGTGGTTAGCTTCATCCTATAACCAAACAAAACTGAGTCCAGGTAAATCAATAATTCAGTTTCCTAATTCAATTATTTATACACCTGGCTCTGCATACGGCGATCCTATGTAAAAATAAGACAGTAACCATTTCCTGAAGTAGCTTTGAGATGAAAGAGCTTCTCTGAGACCCAATATTGCCATTATCAATCAACTAAAATAATGAGACTTTTCATTACTATCACGTTTGGGGCAGATTAGGCTGCTCCTCAGGTAAGAATGCTGGCCATGAGGGCCAGATAATCCGAGGGAAGAATCCACTGTAGAAAGAAGTGACTCCTCAAAATCATCTGCTCTCCACAGCATAGGCACAACATCTGTATGCACACATACAAATCACACACAGACACACATACATTCTTTGGGTTAAGTTTCCCGAAAATCACAAGGAAAAAAAAATGGTAGTGTTCATGAGCTGTCACTATACTGTTCCTTCAATGTGCCCACGACAGCCAATGAAACGCATGCCGTGTGTCTGCTGCAGAAATCTTATCTGCCTGTGAACAGTCCTTCAGACACCGTGGCCCAGGCTTCCAGATTGTACATGCAGGTCTCTGAGACTGTCTGTCTTGCTTCTCTGCAAGCAGGTTCCTCTCCGGAGTCGCCCTGCAGCTCAGTCAGGCCAGCCCTCTAAAATACTTCTGTCCCTCTTAAATCTCTGCCCGCTGACACCCAGCAGGGGACTGGAGCCGCCCGGCGAGCTGGAGATGTAAACATGGCAGATCCTGAACAAGCATGTTTTAGAAGTAAAAGTTCTACAGACCAGTAGGAAGCTGCTACTGTATCATAAACAGTAGTGCCTCATTTCTTTCACTCCTATGATGAGCTCCTGGGAGTGGCATGGACTTATCTGCACTGTGGTTAGGCCCATGAGACCATGCGGGAACTAAATGACACTAAGACTGTAATCTAACAATCCTTCCACTAAGTCGGGAATCTGCAGGAATGCACAGTGGTCTCCAAGTAATTCCCTGCCAGCCACACAGGTGTCAAATCAACGCCCAGGCCACTGAGCAGGAGAAATTTCTAATTCAAGGCACTAATTTCTGTTAATTCTATAAAACTGGCAGATAATTAGTACTTACAATTTGCCAAACACTTCATAGCTGACAGAACCCAATGAGGAAGTTCTTCTATAGAAAACAAAAAAAAAGATATTTTATTCATCTCTTTATAACTCAGTCTCTCTTTCTTTCTCTCTTTCTCGATCTCTCTCTTCCTCCCCCTCTTTCTCTCTTCATACACACACATACAGTATTATAAGAATGTGTCATTTTTCCAAGTAATATGAGATATTTTACTAGTTTGTGCACCAAGACATTTAAAAGGTGATGTCCCAAAGTTCCACACCATCTTCTCATATCCAAAAGTCACTTAGTTCCAGACAATCTCAGCACTAAGAACTTAAAGATCAACTCAAAGAGCCCACCAAATTCCAGTCTAACCCTTATCTAGAAGAAGAAAGGGTTCTGTAATCTTGTGTCAGATATGATGACACTTGCCTGTCAGCTGAGGGAGGAGGATCTTAAGTTCAAGGCCAGCCTGTACTACATAATAAAAGCTTGCCACAAATAAATAAACAAACAAATAAATATGATGACTGTGGTCTACTATAGGCACATGATTGTCTTCTTCCTAATTAAAAAAAAATAAAGGTGTTTTTTTGTTTTGTTTTGTTTTTTTGGTTGGATGGTTTGTTTTGGCTTTGATTTGCAAGCCATCTGAGAGGATAACTTATTTTTAAAAAATGAAGAGATTTTCAACATTTTGGGTAATCTTACTATAGGAAAAATAATAATAATAATAATAAAGACTATCCAGGACAATCTAACTCACTGATATCACTCTGAAAAGGCAAGCCAGAAACCCAAATGTGGGGCCAAGAAAGTAGCTTGACTGACAGAGTACCTGCCTGGCATGCACAGGCCCTGAGTTCAGTGGTTGGCACACGAATCATTACCCCATGGTAATGAAAACAGCAGAGGGCGGGGTGGGAGGGCATTTCATCCAGCCAGCTTGGGCTACATAACACCCTAACTCCAAAATTGAAAAGAAGAAACCTCTAGACACTTGGACCTAAAATGCACTCGGGCACTTCCTTAGGACTGAAGGTCCTACATGTCTGGAGTTTCTCTAGGGACAGTATGGACCCACTAAACACCTAGGCAGCTAGCCGGGAGCCAGAGTGGGGATTCTCAGCCTGTGGGTCACGACCCCTTGGTGAGTGTACTACCCTTTCACAGGGCTCGAATATCAGACAGGCTGCATGTCAGGTACTTACATTACGGTTCATAACTATCAAAATCCAGTTATGAAGTGGCCACGAAAACAATTCGGTGGTTGGGGGTCAGCACAGCATGAGGAGCTGTGTCCGAGTCTTGGCATTAGGAAGGTTGAGGACCTCTGCTCCAAACTCAGAGTGCACTGTCCTGAGTCAGCATCCCCAGAAACTCATCTTTTTATGGCGTCTTAAAAAAGCCAAACACTGGCTAAAAGGCGCTGACAGAAAATGGAATATATGGACCAGGGCCAGCTCAGCTGGGGCTGAGGCAAAGACAGACTGGGAACTGAGAGCTCTCAGTGGGGGTGGGACAGGGGCAGGCGGCTTGCGAGCCCTTACTTGACTTGTCATCCAAGATGACGACGCCCTGCTTGCTGACGCTGTACACATTGTGGATGATGAACTTGGCGTTGACAAGCTTGCTGTTCAAAACTTCTTCTAAGGAGTCCAGGCCAAGGATTTTCTGTAAACTGAAAAGATTAAGTTATTCCTCAAGTAATTTTCGAAACTTTTTCATCATTATTTTTGTAGTGCTAAAAATCGAGCAGTACAAGAGATCTGTGTGGGGTGTGTGTGTGTGTGTGTGTGTGTGTGTATGTATATGTGTCTGTGTGTGTATGGGTGTAAGTTGGTATAGGTATATGCATGTGAGCCAAAACATGTACCGTGTATGTTCATCTAGAGGTCAGAGACAAATGCCATGTTTCTTCCCTGTAAGCCTCCATCCTGTTTGATGAGACAGGGTTTCGCTGACCTTGAGGCTCACTGTTTCAGCTAGGCTAGTGGGACAGCATGCTCCTGGAATCTACGTCTCTCTCCCAGAGTGCTGCAGTTAGAGGTGAGGGTGGGCACTGAGGTACAGCAAGCACCCTTACCCACTGAGCATTCCCTCAGCACCCAAAAGATCAATCTTTAAGGTGCATTATCTTCATGTACTGCACCCAAACTTTCTAGACAATGGGTTAGAAGCTGAATGTGTTCGAAATAACATTAAAATATCCTTTTCCAATAGCATACTTCTTTAATTACTTAATCATGCAACAACCTCAATTTAAAAAAAAAACAAAACTATTTTTTTAAGTAACATTACTTAAAGCCAAATTTTTCCATTATGTGTTTATGAAACGGAGATGTCGGTGCTACTAAAAGCTTATAGACTTTAAGTTGGGAATGGTAGTGCGCACACATGCGATCCCGGCCCTCAAAGGTTGGACAGCGTGCTAGAGAATTCAAAGTCAACCTGGGTTCCACATCGAGAGCATGCTCAAGGGGTGGGAGGGGAGGGGATGACAACGAAAGAAGAATGTAAACTCCTCTTTTTAACTATTACATATCTAACAATGGAAATTTCTCAAAATTCAGGTAAATTATGTTTGTCAAAGAGCATAAGTACAGATTATACAAAGGTGGGTTTTTTAAAACATAATTTCAGAAAACTAAATAGGCAGAGAGTAGAAAGGAGATCGAGCAGAAAGAAGACCCCTGGAATTCTGCAGCATCGAAAGCGCGTACTGTGACAATGTGGCGGATTTCCAGATCTCCTCCACATTGGCCTCGGTCAGCTGTCTGCGGTGGACTAGACGGCAGGCTGGCACCTCTCCGATAGCGATGCTGTGGCGCTTGAACCACATCTCAGAATTCTAGTTTGGCACGAGGGGGTGGGGAGGAAGAAGGGTTGGAAGGAGGTGAGATAGTGGGAGAAAAAATACAGATTTAGTACCAAACGCTACCGCTTCGGAGAAACGTCTTTGACTTTTCCTACTTGTAATCTGGCTGAGAATGGTTAGAAGTATAAGCTAACTTTCTTTGTATGGACCTCGGAGAAGGAATGAATGACTCTCAGGCTTAGGTCATATTAGGTCATATTACAATGAATGGCAAAAGAGCTAAGGCAGTGAGTGCGTCAGTAAAGCACTGATGTTTCCCGGGGGAGTTCCAAGTAGCCAGTGGAATACATTTTTATACGTTCAAAATTAAGTCCAGACATGCTTGCCTTAATTCACATTGTCCCAACTGAGTAATCATTTAAAATGAGGATAATGTACTTTCTAGAATCCTCTTTTATAAGCAGCTATTAAATACAGTATGAGAAGACAAGCCAACCCCAGGCAACTGCTAAGGGCGGAAAAGCAAGCTCCCAACAAGGATAGCCTCTGGACGGCTAAGGCGTAAGAGCAAAGCCCTCTGGAGGGGACAATGACAGCTTAGACAGGCTGCAGGTCACACAGCACCCCATAGCCCTGTTCCTACCACCTCGTGTCCCAGTTAGGCTATTGGACACAAGTCAAATACTTTTTTGTCATCACGGAGAAAATCTTGACCTCATTCTACAAACTGTGTCAAGGTCCCCCTACAGAGAAGCATCCTACTCTACCATTATCGGTTTGGGTCCTCCACAGGAAGCAGGGGCAAGCTGTGGTGGATCCCATAAGAAGCAGGGAGCTTGCGTACCGTGTCAGAGGGAGACACAGGAATAGACAGACCCAGAATGTATCACAAGAGCAATCTGGGTGCATGCTGATGGCTGGAGAGGAAACTAAAGACTTGAGAGTTCAGGGGGGGTGGATGGCTCTAGGGTCCTGGCATCCTCGGGGCTCCCGAGCTTGGAAGGGACTATTGCCATTACAAGACTCTGCTCAGGGGTGGCCATGTGCTAGTAAGCACTGGTCTTCCTGGGGAAAGTGGCAACATAGTAACTGCACAGAAGAGAAAGGGAAAGTCACATGGATGGCATGGAAGCCTGCATATGCAGCTGAGAAAAACTGTCTTCCTGAAGAAAGCCTGACTTAGAGGGGTCTGTCGGGTGTTTAAATAAACAGACTGGAGAAAAGAACATCCAGTTTCTAAGTGTTTCCATATTCACTTTTCTTGACTAGGAATCAACACTTGGTCACTACTTAGTTATTAGTAGTCCTCAAATAGCTAGCACTTCTATGGTTCCATTTTGCTCTCTAGCACTATCTTCTATTTTACCATTTTTCTCTTACTAAACTGTAAGAGTAGAGAATGTGCCACACATCACTGACTCTAGGGAGCTTGCACACCTACCACACAGGGACACTCTTAATGAACCTTTTTGAATAAGTAAATGAGCAACAGGTACAGTCTCTCCTCTAAGTTCCATGGTCCTGTCTCCGCCCACCTGCTGTGTGCTCCCACTTCATATAAACCATCACTGTGGTCAAACAGACACCAAAATCATCACCTTCCTCGGCATACCTGCAAGCCCCTGTGGCATCCCCACTTCTGTCACTGGTGTCCTCTTTCGCCCAGATCCTCTTTGATAGGTCTAAGCTTCTCCAAGCTTATTCTCTCCAAGCTGAGACATCACATAATGGCTTTGGGGGTGGGGGAAGCTCTTTTTTCTTATTTTGATTTGATTGGTTAAAATCAGTTTCCTCACATTTTTGCAAACAAACTATTTTGATGTCTAGTCTTAAAACACTTGATTAACCTAAATCAGGTTAGTAAATTTCTTCCAAATTGCCTTTTCAAAGTTTCTCTCTGTATGGTATTTTATAGCATCATCTCAATCTTGACAGTCTTGTACTGGGGATATTTTAAGAAGAAGGTATAAAAAAAGAAGGAGGAAGTTGTATGTTTCACACTCTGCTGCTGTTAGAGACCAGAGAGGCCATATTTGTTCCTGTGTTGTGTTGGGTATTGGGGTCATACGACAGCCTACTTTCTCACTTTCACCTAATATAATAATTGAGACACAGTTTAGGAGAAGACAAGGAAGAAAAGTAAACTCTAGGACAAGAAAGGTTAGAAGGGAGGGAATCTAACAGAAATCTGCTCTGATTGGACATATGAAAAAAACTACCACGTGTTCCATCAAAATGTCAGTAGGCAAGAGTGAAAACAATATGAGCCAATCTTCCTGTTAGATGACCTCTCACCCATTGACAGATGTGATGTGGTGTCCTTTCACAGTACTCCCCAAACACTGCTCATTAAGCATCACTAGAAAGAACTGGCTCAGGCCTTAGCTCACTAGATAATTCCCCCTGAACTGAGCCCATCATCACTTTTTAAAAATCATGACTAATGCTTTCATTAATTTATTTACTGACAGTTTCATACATGTACACAATACATTCTGGTCACATTTCATTCGCCGTCTTGTATCTCCTTTGCATTCCTTCCAGACCTTTCTACCTCAAAGCCCCCATCTCACTTTCATCTCTTTTTATTTACTTTTGTTGTTGTTGTTTTGTTTTGTTTTTGCTGTATGACTCACTGGCTTCATCCAGGGCCAACTGTGTGGGCATGGGTATGAAGCTATTCACTGAGGTGACTAACTCACCAATGGCAACACCAGAGATACAATGACTTCCTCTTTCCCAGGAGCTGGGGGAATGTGGAGCCAAAATCCAGCCCAGCAGCATTTATCCAAAGCACTTACCATCACGATTGGCCTCACTGGGATGTTCTCTTGTGAAGTGCCTGGTGGGGGATCATTCCATTCTGGAAACTTAATAACATCTCTGTGATACAGGGGCTTCTTCGGGTATGGCTTCAGGGGTGAGGAAGGAGGAAATCTAAAGCCAAGAAGAAATGTTCTATTATTGCAGACAGTAGGAGACAGAGGTTTTACAGCACTCAGATAAATGATGGGCTCATTCTTCATCAAATTACTGCACATGAATCATGAAGAGCTGTACTCAACAATAATGACTTTTAAGATAGTCATTCATTATGCTCACCAAATAATATTAGTAGAGAAAAAGCTATAAAATATACATAACATTTTTAATAATAAAGCTGGCTTCCTATTTGATTTATTTTCCATTTTCTTTTCCTTTGTCTTGAAGATGCGGCCTCACTGTGGGACCCAGGCTCGGACTCCTGGCCCCAGCAACCTTTCTGCCTATGCTTCCAGCAGCACTAACAGATGTGTGTCACCTCGCCTAGTTCTAATGATGCCCTTAGTAGAATGGAGGCCCTGTGTTTCGCCCTGCTCCTGTGGCACAGAACGCTGACAGAGCCCTTGCTGAGACAGTACACTGACCTGGCAGTCACTTACTCCTCTTCCTTTGCAGGGCAGGCATTCCACCAGGGAGCTCTGCCCTCAAGCCCCAGGGTTCACTTTTATAAATACTTCTCAGAAAGACTAATTCTCCTTCCCTTGAATAGCCAACACGTCACACGGAGATTGAACTACCAACCAAGAAATCCATCTTCAGGGAGCTAGAAAACCGTCTAGAATCATTATTCTGCCTTTCAACACACTGTCCCTCTTCCTGAATCTCCGGCTTATCAGAGCCGTTCCACCTTGAACCTAAAAATTCTCCTGAAGATGGATTTCACCATAATAATAAAGAACTAATGCTAAATATGTGGGTTTTTTTCCTTATAAGATGTTCCTCTATAAATTTCCTACAGTGAAATCCATCAATAGGATAGATGTGTGGCTCAGGGGGCAGAGCTCTTGCCTCACATGTGGGAGGGTCAAACCCAGTACTGCAATAAAAGGGGGGAGGGACTTGCAAAAGCAATGCAAGAAATTGGTAAGGTACTGGCTTTTGTTTTAAAATGTGGGCACAACTAAAGGCTTAGAAACTTCCTATAGGAGTCAGAGAGATGGCGCAGCAGTTAAGAGGGTATCTCTTGTAGAAGACCCAAGTTCGGTTCCCTGCATCAATGTCAGGTAGCTTACAATCATCCACTCTTCCCAACTTATCTTTTTTTTTTTTTAATAGCCCATGAAGTCCAATTTGTATTCTCCATATACTCATGAATATGAGGCCATCCTCTAGAGCATGCTCACTAACAGGGGACCATGCCCTTAAAGAAAAGTGGTTCTTCCTCCCCACAAGACACTGACTGTGGGTAGCTCCACAGGTCAGAGTGCACAAGCCCCATCCCTCTCCATGCTGGACCTTGGATGGCTTGATCCTGTGCACACAGCCACAGCTGCGGTAAGAGTGTCGGAGTCCAGTCTTGTCCAGAAGTCATTGCTGGGCCCGGGTCCTCGCCAGTCTCTGCCTTAACCATCTTTCTATTCCTGTCTTTTGCAATGTTCCCTGAGCTTTACAGGCAAAGGGTGTGATACAGATGTCCCATTTGTGGCCAAACATTCCATGCACACTTACTCTCTGCATTTGGTCAAGTTGTGAGTTTCTGAGCTGTGAATACCTCATTCTTATGGCAAATGCAGAATCAAAGAGTTTTTAAAGTGCAGACAGTTTTCAAAGAAAGTTTATATCAAGGTGAATCAGGAGACACAGCAATAACACTAAAGGAAACCACTTCAAGAACAGTCACAGGAGACTTGAAAAGAGCTGAGCAGTGGAGAAAAGCCGAACTCTGTGTTCTCTGAAAAGAACAGTTAATAACTGCACTGTATTTCAAAAGTCAGTATGAATCCAAAGAAGAAAAGGTCTGGAAATCATCAAATTAAGTTAAATAAACTGATAGTTTCAGATTATTAAGGTGGGTGGCAAAAGCCCAAATATAAAATGAACATTTTAAGCCAGTCAAAGATAACTCTGAAATTAAGGCTATCTCATCGCAGTCAATGTAATTCTTCTCTGATCTCTATTCCTCTTCCCACCTCCTCTCTCCTCTTTCTTCCTCTCCTGTCCTCCTTTCTCCTTCTCTTCTTCTTTTAGGCAGGCTCTTACCATGTAGCCCAGGCTAGCCATGAACTCAAGATCCTCCTTTTTCAGCCTTCCATCTGCTAAAATGGCAGAGCCCCCACACTTAGGTCCAATCTGATTTCTTAAAAGCAACAATCACAACAAAGGACTTCTTCCAAACCAAGGTTAGTACTTAGGCATGCACCCTCCCAGTCTTGCCTATGAATATAATCCCACTTCACAGACCCACCCACTTCACAGATAAATAGGAATAAGTAAGCCCCGACCAGCACTCGCTCACCCTCAGTTCCACTCTCAATTATGGTATGAAAACTGGGGAGTTGAGTTCCAGACTTGGCTCTCTCACGAACTACCTATACATCCTTTGGCAGGTGAAAGCCTCTCTAAATAGTAACTCATTGATCTGCTGGGTGATTTATGCTCTTCCCCTCTGCTTATTCTGATGTCTGTCCCAAAATCTGGGCACAGAGGTCTTTTGTGAGACTGATACTCCAAACAAGGACCATGTATGGAGATAACCTAAAACCCCTGCACAGATGTAGCCCATTGCAGCTCAGTGTCCAAGACAGTTCCCCAGTAATAGGAACAGGGACCATCTATGATATGAAGTCAGAGTCATGGGCTGGCTCTATGCTCACCTCTAGCTGAGGGGGGAGCAGCCTTACCAGGCCACAGAGGAAGACAATGCAGCCAGTCCTGATGAGACCTGATTGACTAGGGTCAGATTGAAGGAGAGGAGGACCTCCCCTATCGTTGGACTAGGGGAGGAACATAGGAGAATAAGGTGAGAGGGTGGGATTGGGAGGAGATGAGGGAGAGTGCTATTGCTGGGATACAAAGTGAATAAACTGTAATTAATAAAAATAAAAGAAAAAAAGAAAAAGAAAAAAAAACTATGGCCTTGTGTCATCACACTCAGAAAGAACTATCTTCCAAAAAGCAAAGCAGAACTTGTTACATGCAGAATGGTGACTGAGGATATCCTTACCAGTCTCTTCCCATCCCACCAGGAACTCTTCCTCACTCTCAGGTAGGCACCATTGCCTGAGGAAAGCTTGCTCAGGGTTCCCTCTAGTGGTGACTGCAGTGGGGGGGGGGGCATGATTTCCCGGAGACTGGAAGCTGCCAGTTTAATCCTAACTTTTGACTCTTGTCATCTAGGGCTAGACGCTAGACACCTGCTTCAGATTTCATCTGGATGAGTCAGGGATAACAGTTCCCAAATAGAAAAGCAACCAAGTATCTCAGACCATGAAACGTCTCTAAGAAAGACTCATGCACTCTTCAATGGGTGTGCTGGCACATGCCTCTGCTCACACACAGCCCTGAGGAATCTGAGGCCAGCCTAGCTGACATGAGTGCCTGTCTCAAAAAATTAAAAAAAAAAAAAGAAAAAGAAAGAAATCGTAAGTGGACAGTAGCTCATGCAGAGCTACTTACAGCTTGTGCAGAGAGTAAGTGTGACTGTCCTCTCTCCTCCCTGCCCCAAGGCAAAAGAGGGGTACAAAGACCCTAAGAGCCAGAGGTCAGGAATTCCCAGCAGCGTGTGCCTGTGTGCACCCTGCCAAGATAAGCCAGTGCAGATAGGGGAGGGGGTTACAGGTCCCAGGTCCTCGCTGAAAGCTATTGGCAGCGGAGGGTAAGAGAGTCTGTTTTGTCAGGGGTGTTGCCTCTCCTCTCATAGGCTGGTCCTGTAACCATGTGCACACCTGAAGCACCAACTGGACTCTGTAGGTTATGTGTGTGTGTGTGTGTGTGTGTGTGTGTGTGTGTGTGTGTGTGTGTATGTATGTGTGTGTATGTATGTCTGTATTTTAGGAAAGAAGATACAGGTTTTGGAATGCACAGATAAAGTGGTTTCATGAGAAAAGTTAGAGGTTGGAAGGGAAATAAGATAAACAACTATATGCATTTATGAAATTCTTAAAGAGATAAGTAAAATTCAACTTAAAATGTAAATAAAAGCAATTTTTGAAGAGAAAAAAAAAATCGCAGGTCCTTTATAAAATGTTACTGAAAGACATTAAAGAAACAGTAAACTGATAGATACTCCACAAATAAGACTCAGTGCAATAAAATGTCATTTTCCCCATAAAGCCTGAAAGTTAGGATGAAATTCCAGTGATAGTATAAAAAATCTTCTCCTGAAACCAATGAGAGGGCTCTACAATGTACATGAAAAGAACCAAAAATAACCAAGACATTCTCATAGCAGAAAAACAGCGGTGAGGCTTCCCTCCCAGGTTTCAGGGCGAGTAAAGAAAACATGGCGTCCTCAGTGGTCCCTCCTGGCATGACTGCCGTGAAGGCCGGACAGCCCCTGTGCACAGTAAAACAGCAGCAGCCTTGGCCTGCACCCACTGCTGGCAGCATCCCTCATGTGCCTACTGTAGCAACCAAGTATTTCTCCAAGACGCTGGCATGAGGGAGGCATGGGGCCGGGCAAAGTGAGTCCAAACTACACACTCAAGTTTGAAAGCGTGGCTAGTGACAGAATGCACAACTCGGGGAAGCACGGCCTGCTCAGTAAATACAACAGGGCCAATGCAGTCCACGTAGGACAGGTGACATTGCAACCCTGCAGCAGTCTGTCACACGGCCGAAGGAGTCCCCTCCCCGAAACTTGTTGCAAGGTGACCAGCCCCCGCTGTGTCAAGAGGCACGGCGCACCATCCTCCCTCTTGAGTCTGCATGAGCTCCTCTCGCTGCTGTAATAGACAGAAAATGGCACACACGTCAGCCCTTCCTCTGTTCTTGGCTTCAGAGACTATCACTTCTTTTTGGCAAAATTCTCTCCTAGTCACCAGCCATCATATAAAATGTGTGACTATCTGGAGATCCTCGTGTTGGTGGATGTCCAAGTGGTAGAAAGAGCCCCTAGAGATGAGATACCTAAGGGAAAGAACTTGAAGGAGGAAGCACCAGAACTCCAGACCTAT